ACGCACTGGGAGACCCTCAGCGAAGAAGACGAGGCAGGTGGTACAAAGTTATCTATCATGTAGTGTATCGCTCCTACCATGCCGTTACACCGCTGGTTTTGAAAGCACGTACTCGTGTCACACAATTAAACAGACAAAGAACACCGCACTGTACGAACACATAGACGCAAGCACACAGAGCTTCAGTTTTGGCCATGACGCGCTGGGAGAACCTCAGCGAAGAAGACGAGGCAGGTGGTACAAACTTATCTATCATGTAGTGTATCGCTCCTACCATGCCGTTACAATTTGGCATGTAACCTTGTACCAGGCCAACTGGTGCTGGACCGCCAAAGAATATTTGCGCCAGCACTGTGCCCTTACAGTGAAAACACCAGCCTGTAGCTTAATTGCAGCTGCTTCTGCTTACTTAGCTTTGCGCGGCTAAGTCTGAGCCGACCAGGTTGGATTCCTCCGCTTCGCTGTCGTTTGGCCCCCAGCTGCAGCAGTACTGTTTGGTTCTGCAGCACGTAGTTCGCTCTTGTCCGTGCTTACTGCTGTGCTGGCTGTTGCTGTTCCCGCTGTTCTTGCGGCCGCTGTTCCTGTCGCTGTCGTGGTTGTTTCTGTTGTTGTTGCTGTTGCTTCTGTTGCTGTTGCTGTTGCTGGATGCGGCTGCTGCTGTTGCTGCTGCTGGTGGTGGTGCTGCTGCTGCTGCGGCGGTTCTTCTTTGCCGCCTGTCCTTCTTTGTCGTCTGTCCTGCGTTGCTCATTCTGCCTTGTCAGGATGAGCCGGTGCGCGAAGAGGCTCGTGCGCCAAAAGCTTGCTCTAGACTCCTCTACTCCATTCAATGGCATGTTTGTCTGCAGAGTCTGCAATCGATGTTTTGCTACTCACACTACAAGGTTACATGCCAAATTGTAACGGCATGGTAGCCGCGGTCCATGCCGGACACACTGTCGGCTTTGTTTTTACTTGATGAGCCGGTCCTGACCCAGGACGAAGTTTGCATCATTTTTTCTTGCCCGGGCATGGTTCGCCATTTTGAACGTTACCAAGATACTACATTGTGCTGCACTGTTGATGCGAAAATGAAAGTTGCCGAGCATGGGTATGGCGTTGCGACTTTCGGTCTCCTCACTCGCGACAAACTACGAAAAACCACTTTGTCGCGTGCTGCCCGCACGGACTCCACACCTGCTCGAACTCAAGGGTTCGCCTTTACAAGTCACACCGTGCCCGTCGTGCAAGCGATTTTCCATCAAGAAACGCACGGCAATTTCCAACGCTTATTCCGGGCCGTGGACAAGCTCTGGCAAAACAGTGCATCTCCACCCCGTCCATCGCTTGCAACTTTGCCATTCCAATTGCACAAAGATTTCAAAAAAGAGATTGAAACTGCCCGCGTCGATTGCTTCCCACACTCCCGTGCATGTGATGATTTCTTCCATTGGAGCCAAAAGCAGCATACGACTATGGCTGCAAAGTGCTGCAAAACGGTCTTACGAAAGGGGAAATGGGTCAAGGAACATTTGGATTGGGCAGTTGCTGCGGTGCGACTTCTGCGCTTGCTTCCCACGTTGCGCTTGTTTTCCCCTTTGTGGGCTGCGTATCTTCGTCGACTTACCGAACATGGAGAGCATGACTTGGTCGCTTGGTTACGAACCTATGAAAGGCCGCTGCCTTTCGCTTTGGCGCAGCAGTACGCAAGTTCTTCGCCACCCCCAACTTATGTCAGCTTTTGGACTGGCTTCGAAGGCACTGTGGCTGGCAGTGGTGCAGGCAACCAACCTGCGGAGGCCTTGCACGCACCATGGCAGCGTGAACTTCAAGCTTTGGGAGGTAAGGGCAACATCAGCCACGCGCTAGGCGTGATGCAAAAGCTGTACACGCAGCATTGGGAGAACTGGTATGACTGGCACAGTTCGGACCCTTTACGACTTTCGGCATCTGCTCCTCGCCTGCTTTCAGTTTTTTTGTTCTTTTGCTTCACAATTTTGCAGCACTCCGACTTACGCAATCATGTCATATGTCACATTCTCGGCGGCATAGATACAATCAATATTGCACTGCTCCTTGGTCACCTTGGATCCCGGCTTCTTGTTTCGTTTCCTCAGCTGCTTCGCGCAGCATAACCTAGTTCGTTTTGCCCGGCAGACAGGAGGTGGACCCGAACCTCATCAGCAGCAGCGCTCTGGCTCGCGCTGGCCGGACGAATGCGGCTCGCTTTGCGGAGTTGCCTTCGGACACCACTTTTACCATCATCGGTCACAATCCTACAACCGTTGCAATGATTGCAAACGAAAGCCGGTCGCCTTTGAACTTGCGCACTGCAACCGCTGGTGCGCTTTTGATTGCAGGCACGAACGTGTCCCAGTCCTTGCAGAACACCGGGATTCTGAGCGCTTCCAATGCGCTCAACCTTTCCAGCTTGCGGGCAGTTTTTCAGGCTTCAACGGGCCAAAGAACCTAAAGTTGGCTCTGCTTTCCTGTTCGTTCCAGTTTGGTCGTTGCAGTTCATGTCCTCAAGTTTTTCGATGTTTTTCGGCTTTGTTCCGAAGGCCGCCTATGTTCAAGCTTCATGCATGTGAAATACAATCTGCCACTCATACACCCCCGGGTCAACGCCTTGCTTGGCCCAGGACATTGTCTATGTCATTGACCGCGATGGTTCTGCTGCGTGCACCTGTGGCATTTTTGCTTTGCACGGCGGTTGTGATCACACAACTTTTGCCGATAGTTTGCAGATCCGTGCCCGGCCGCCAAAGCTAGACTTGAACCAATTGCCTGCCACCACCCGGCAAAAGGGTCGGAAGCGGAAAGCTGAACCGTGCCCCCGCCAACAACGGCGCCAGCACAAACGCGCCGAGCAGTAAGTGGAAGCTTGGTCTGCAGGGCTCCAACTTTTTTTTGCATTCTTTGCTGCACATGTTTACGTTCATTTCCCAAAGCCACTTGCCGTCACGCGTCACTTACACATCACTGTGGTTAACAAGTTGCATTGTCGCCTTCTGCAGTCTCTCTCTACGGCTTGTCGGTTTCATGTTGTGAGCTTGCGCGCATCTGAGGCCAACGTCGACGCAGGTCGTGTGAGTGCTAGTTTCATGTCCGTGTGCGGCAGGACTTAGCTGTTGTGACGCTGGGGTTCAAAAAGATTTGCCCACTTCCTGCTTGGGCAACCATGCTGAAGCGTTGCTTCTTTTCCATTTGCTTGGACACCAATTTCATTCAGCCACACTGGCGCAACCTTGCCGCCAAGTTCCTATCGCTGTCGCGGTTGTTTCTGTTGTTGTTGTTGTTGTTGTCGTTGTTGTTGTTGTTGTTGTTGGTGGTGGTGGTGGTGGTGTTCTTGATGGTGTTGTTGTTGTTGTCGTCGATTTTCGCATGTTGTTTGTTGATCGTTGTTGGTCGTCGTTGTTGTTCCTCGTCGTCGGTGTTGTGGTTGTTGTTGTTGTGGTGGTCTTTGTTGCTGTTGTTGGTGGTGGTCGTGGTGGTGGTGGTGGTGGTCGTGGTGGTCGTGGTGGTGGTGAAGGTGCTGGTGGTGGTAGTGGTTGTGGCTTTTGGTGGTTCGTGTTTGTTCGTGTCTTTACAAAAACTCTTTCGCGTTGTTCCGCGACAACACAAGACTCCCACCACTTCGCACGGGATCACAGCACACCCGACACGGGAACCGAAAACACCGGACGCGAAAACCAGCAACACTGGAGACCTAAACGCACCGAACGCGGGAACCGAAAACACCGGACGCGGGAACCGAAAACACCCGCGCAATTTTTCCCTCTTCAACGCAAGGTGGGAACCGAAAACACCATCACAGGAACTGAAAACACCCGCGGGCACTGAAAAAACCGAGCCGGGCACCGAAAACACCGCCGCGCGGGAACCAAAAACCCACTTGGGAACCAAAAACACCGCGGGAACCGAAAACACCAACGCGGGAAGAAAAAACACCGCGGGAACCGAAAACACCAATCCGGGAACCAAAAACCCGGAGCCCAGGGAAACAACACCCGAGGTTCTTGGAAAGAATGATCTAACCACCATCGCCTTTTCCTTCACAGGTCATTTTTGTTGTTGATCTGTTTGGGGCCTGGGCCCCTCTACAAGAGTTGTCGTAGAGCTGTAGAGTCGTCGGGTCTCACCTGATCTGGATTGGTGAAGTTCATGGGTGTTGTCTAGACTCTGTGGGATAGATGATCCATGATGAATTCCCCAGGGTTAGAAGAAGGTTCCCCTATGACTTTCTATCAGATTCTATCAACGTGATTTGCTAAGTCTAAGGTAAGTGATTTTGTCCAAGCTAAGATGGCTATCACCGGATCCTGTTCAGGGACGATGTTTCAAACATGGGCCCGAGGAGTCCGATGTGCGGAATGAGGGTGAAGATTGATGTCTATGCTTTTGTTGGAACCCACTGCTTTCCTTTCAACTGGATGTATATAGCAAGTATCTGCGCCCCATGGCGAAAGCGTGCCATGGCTGCGCGCATTCGTGTGCAGCTAGACTAGGGTGTCCTTAGCTCCAGCTATAGCGATGCCATTTCGGTGCCCTGCGCCGAGGGAGACGATTGGCATCAGCTCCAAACGCTGACGACACAAGAGCTTCCCCGCGCAGGCGGTGGGAACCGGCGGGAACCGGCGAGCGCGACTGGGCGTGACACTCTCGGGACTGGGACTTCTCTCCACGCGGCACCACAAGAGCGGAGCAGAAGAGAGAGAGAGAGAGAGGCAAAATGGAGAGAAACCAAATCACACCATAACACTTTCTCCCTTTCCTTCCGAAGAACTCGAGTTCACTCGGCTCCCACTCGGCCGCGGCAAAAACACACATATTGTATAACACAGCCAGTACTGGTTTCCCATTTGGTTCTTCCTTTTGAGCTCGTACTCGGAACTCGTTCGCAGGTCTTGCTCCAGCTCCACCGGTCCTTTTGCGTTTGGCGCAGCGTTTGCTGCGCCGCTGGACGCCGCTGGCCTTGCTCCGTCAGCGCCAGGCGCTGTCTTCGCGCTGGGCGTCGACGCTGGGCGATGCCGGCGGAGGTGGATGGGGGTCCAAGGCCAAGGTGCTTTCTTTTGGCGTGTTTTGGGATGGTTTTGGAGGTTTTAGGATGTTTTGGGGGGTTGAATGACTGACTTGGAGTTTGGGATGACGCTTTAACATGTTCAGCAATAATTTCCAGGAAACCACCTGTAATTTACAGGTGGTTTCCTGGACACTATTTCTGCACTGCTCTTCCGTGGGAGCAACTTGAAGCCTGGAAGATTGATGAACCAGAGATCCAGAGCACCTGCTCAAGATTTTGGGGGGTTCATCCTGCGGCATTCCCGCCTTTCGTAATTCACGGTGTTTTTTTGGGGGCGAGGTACTCCGCGAGCTCTACCGTAAAGATGACAATGCTTAATTTGAATCCTTCAGGATTCCTATGATGTGACTCGATTCTCTGGTATTTTGCCGCCAATCTTGGGTCATCTTGGGTCCTGCGCTCTGGAACCTTTCTGAGAGCTTTGAGAGCTACGGTACCTCTCCTCCTCGGAGCTTGGGGGTGTGTGTGTGTGTGCTCTCTGTCGGGAAGACTCTCCTCAAGAAGAATCACCCGATGCAGCCTTGCCCAGTTCGCATCAACCAGAACTCCACCAGCTTCACATGAAAAAGACTCCCAAACCACCTGGGTTGAAAAAGACCTATCGTAATATGTCGCACATGGAGATTGAGTACGGCATTGTGCCATGGTGCATGGTTTGCATGGTTTGCATGGTTGGCATGGTGTGTTGGGTCCGTTTTTTTTCCAGCTAAATACGGAATCTCCTTCGAGTCCTGCCACTGCTTGCAGAGTCCTGCCACCCAAAGTTGTTTCCCGTTCCAACCACTTCAAGAGTCCTATCTCTAGAAGGGTCTTCAGAGTGGATGCGGATTCAATCTCTTCTGAGGACAGGGGTGCCGGAAGAGGTCGAAGATGACTTCTGTCTGTATGGCATCATGACCGCCAACTTCTGGAACTGTTTCCAGACGGATGCTGGACCATCTTGGCACATTGAGAGATGCTTAAGACGCATCACCAATGGACCCTTGTTGAACATGGACACTCGTGAGGATTGGGGCCCACTTGAGTTCCTTGGGCCCAAGTTTTCGACGAGTGCTTTTTGTTCATCATGATGAAACGCTCGCAGTTTCTATCAATGAAATGGTTTTGGGGAGGGACCAATTCAATTCTGCAAAACCCATCGTTTGGGGAGTGAACACCATGGTTTCTCGTAGATTTTGTCCCCCATTCATTGAATGAGGGGCTGGGTCGCTCAACCCACCTGCAGTGTTGTTAAGAACGACCCCGAGACCTGGTAGGAAAGAACCGCCGTTCTGTCGGTCTCGTCTACTGGGTTTGATCATCCACAGCCATGGAGGCCATCGCTAGTAGGAGGCCATCGCTAGTAGGTTATCTTGAATAGGGAGATCCGCTGGCACCATGGGCGTTCTGTACGTGTTTGTCCAATGTTTTTTTCTGGCAGGGGGGGTGCGTTCCCGCCAGAAGGTAGGTCGTTCATCCATATAGCTGCCCGAGCTGTGACATCCATGTGTGCGTCATGTGTGCATCTTGGCTTCTGACTCTTTGCATCTTCATCCTCAGCCAATCCTTTTGGGTTTGGTGGTCCAACCACGGCGAGGTTTTCGCCAGTAGATGTGTCTCCTGTGATTGGTGAGGTTTTCGCAGAGCTCCAAGTGGCCTTTGCAACTCATGGACACTTGGAATTGAGCTGTGTGATTACCTGGAGATGACCTGGAGGTTTGTGGCATTTTGGGGCAAGACAGGAGGGTGATGTACAGGAAATGATCGAATCTATCAATTTTGGAGATGCCACAACCTCCAGAGGAGGTGCCTCTTTGCAGAAAAAAAGGGGGGCTTTTCTGCAAACCCCGCCGAAGCAATCCCTGCGGGTTCGCCTTAGAGCCCATTCATCCCGTGGGTCGCAGCATGGTGGGAGAGTGTAGATGCTCCTCATTAAACAAGAACAGATGGAGTGCGTTCGGTTTCACCTGAATTTGGTCCAAGGGACTCTAAAGAGTCAAAGCGGCTTGGGAAAGATATGGACAGGATGGAAAAAGGATACATTTCCTATCGGTGTGAACTCTTGATCTTCTTTTTCTTGGATCTGTGTGGGGGGGGTTTCAGAGTCAATGAGAGGAGCACTCGCATATCTCCACCTTTTGAGTCTGGACCGTCCGACTCCGACCCTCGTCCCACCCTGCCGACTCTTTCGTGCCGCGTCAGCGGCGGAATCTTCAGCGGAATTCACGCGGTGTTCTCCGTCCATTCGGCGTGTAATTCAAGCTAGTTCAAGAAGGTTCAAGAGTTTTTTGGGGGGATCGCCTATGATATCCTATGAATATGTTTTATAAGGAATTGATCTCACATGTTTCATGCTATCCAGAGAATCGTAGCTGTTCTTTCTGGGCCGTGTTTTTCTCCAAATCGCCTCGGTCCTTTTTTTTGCGCGACCACTTGGCACCGTTCGGAGCGCGTTTAGGACATTCGTTTAGTCCAAGACAGCTGGCGCCAATGCAGCCTTCAGCAGCTCTCCATCTCTGCCTGTCACAGCGCCACTCTGCCGGAGCTGCGTGCGCCCTTCCACCGTAGCCTCCACTCCCTCGAGTCGGCTGGCGAAAGACTGGCGATGCAGCTGGCGACGGCACCAAAGATGGCCGAAAGCGAGCTGGATTGGTTTAAGACATATGACTATGACTTGTTTTGTTCTTTTTTCTGTGTGATAAGCTTTGATCACGAAAGCTAGCGAAGCTAGCTGGAGTTACTCTTGCGATAGCAAGGTTTCTTTCGAC